CCTTGTTTTAGTGCAGGCTGGGACCCCCCTTTGACATTTTTTTTCCTGAAGCAAAGGACAAAATAGTTCACACCTCCATTTCATGTACCTAGATTGACCGCATTGACTGTGGCATGTTATTTGAATGCTGGGTATCTAACCGGAAAGTAAGAGAGCCCTGAATAACTTCTTCGTGAGCCAAGGAATGTCCTTTCTGGGAACACCTTTAGCTGGTCGCCTGTTGCTTTTGCTGTTTCTTAGGCCCCTGTGGACAGTAGACCGTTGAGAGCCACCTAGGTGCAAGAGTGAGACCCCGTCTCTGTGAGTCACTCTTTCTCCCCAGCCCAGACTTGTTGATCATGTGAGCAGCCTACAAGGTCGCTGGGTTCCTCGTTACCAGCAAGACTTACTTCTTGGTAAGGGGCTGCACAATCACCTGCTTTCCTCCTTCTGCGTGCCATGTCCTGCCACAGTGGCAATAGCAAAAAGCAAACTCAGGCCAGAAGCAGCAACCAATATTGTTATTTGAAAAGTCAGTGGTCACCATGAACCTGATCACTCTCTTCCCCTTAGACCAGTGGTTCCCAACCTCAAGTAACCCAGGTGTTCTTGGACTGCAACTCCCAGAAGCCCCAGGCAGCACAGCTGGTGGTGAAGGCTTCTGGGAACTGCAGTCCAAGAACACCGGAGTTACCCAAGGTTAGGAACCATTGCCTTAGACTATCCTCATGAAAAATTACCCAGAGAAGAATGTTCAAAAAAGCTCTAAGCATGCTAAAAATTAATGAATTCCCTATGTCTCCAGCAAAATAAATGTATCAAAGAGAAATCATTCCAGAGTTCATTCTATCTCAAAACTTCTCAGTGCTTGATAATTATAACTATGTGCCATCAAGTCGATTCTAACTTATGGTGCCCCTTGCCAGGACTTCCTGAGAATAAAGCATCCAAAGAGGCTTAGTAGACCCTTCTTCTAGTGGCATTCCAGGACTATGTAACTTACCCATGACTACAAAGGCTGGCTATTCTCCCAGGCAGTACAAGGAGGGGAATGAACTCCAGCCTCCAGCCCACTGAGCTATCCAGCCAGCTTCAAGGTCTAGTGTCAACCTCTTTTTCTTCATAGCCAAAGCCAAAAACTCCAACCACCAACATGAGATTGTAAAAAGAACTGTGATGGATGAGAATAAAGACTTAGCACTACATATTCACATTAGGAAGTCTACATGCATGACATCCTTCCCATCATTTTCCTTCACAACTGGTATACACAACCTAACTACCTTTGATACTGTAATTAACACATAACCATCATGACCAGTAAGTCCTGATAGCCTTATTCTCCATAAATTTGTGCAATTCCCTTTTAAAACTGTTTAAACTGATGACAATCATGGCATGTTGTGTGAGCAAATTCCATCATCTAACTAGATACTATGTTAAAAAATGCTGTTACAACTATTTGGTATCAACATTCAGCTTCAATGGATAACTATAGGATCTTTGTACAGTGGGGTCTCTACTTAAGAATGTCTCTACTTAAGAACAATCCAACTTAAGAACAGCTCCATTTGCTAAATTTTGATTCTACTTGAGAACAGAAATCCAAGATAAGAACAGGAAAAAAACCTTTCCTGCTCTTTTTTTAACCTTAGGTCATCTTAGGTTACAAAAAATTCTCCCCCTAGTGGTAGAGTACGTATTAACCAGCTTTGCATTAGTTCCTATGGGAACTAATGCTTCAATGTACGAACGCACCTCTACATAACAAAAAAACAGCCAGAACGGATTAATTGGTTTTCAGTCCATTCCTATGGGAAATTTTGCTTCAACTTAAGAACGTTTCAACTTAAGAACACCATTCCAAAATGGATTAAGTTCTTAAGTAGAGGTTCCACTGTAGTTTCTATGGACGGAAAAGAGCAGATACGGATTAAATGGTTTTCAATGCATTCCTATGGGAAATGCAGATTCAACATAAGAACTTTTCAACTTGAGAACCACCTTCCAATACGGATTAAGTTCTTAAGTAGAGACCCCATTGTATACTGAGACAAGGCAAGACAGCAAGAAGCAAGGTGACTGGAGACCCAGCAGAGAGCCTGCCACAGGCACGGAGAGCAGCCGGCGCAAGCACGCCCACCATGAGGTTCTTACCAGCAACGTTGCCAACATCAGTTGGCTGGTCCTCCTCTTCCTCTCCATCCTCTTCCCACACCTTGCTACATGGGTGAACCTATGGCCACATAGACTTTGGCCATGCTTCCATGGAAGAGTACCACATGTATGGTGCAGCTGCCGCTACTGCTGACCACCAAGGAATAGCTAGTGAACGTGCCCAGGCTGCTTTACTCTAGAGATAGTTAAATATTTGCTTTCAGCACCTTTGTTGCGACGCCCCATGCTTGGCACACCTGAGAAGTGTTTTGGAGCTGGTAGACAACGTGAGGCGCTACTCCTCCCAGAAAAAGAGACTGTTGTAGATTGACCAAAATTGACCTGAACTGTTTGGGAGTGTAGTTAACTCCCTGGTGCCCACACAACAGCTCAAGTTTTGTTGTTGAGCCACATTGGCTCAAATATAGTTGGGTTACTCCAATAAATGAGTCTCTTCCTGCTAACACGCCTCGTGCCTTCACAGATGGGTCCATGCGGGCCACTCCCATTCATCATTAAGTGGTAAACGATCCAGAAACTGAGACAAGGAGAGAGATTTGCACTGAACCTTGAGCGATTTGCTTCAGCCTGACAGGGTTTCCTCGTGCTGATGTTAAACTGATATACTTCAGGGGCTCTGGGGTCCTATGGGTTCTTTGAACACATTATTCAAGGACGTTCAGCTGGGGTATGGAGCCTTGTTCCAAAGTGTCCCAACGGATTGACTAATTGTTCTGGCTGCCTGAATGCCCCACTTCCTTTCCCTGTGGGACCCTGTATAAAATGGCTTAGCTGAGCTACGAAGGCTAATATAAAGCAGTTAGGTAGTCACCATGCAGAGCAGCCCTTTTGCCCTTTGTCTCCTCATCCTGGGACTCTGCATACTATGGTTTCAGCTGTTGGGTGTTTCTGCTCAAGGTAGGAACTTCACGTCTTCTCTGTCTCTCATTGCATATGTCTGTGGCTGTCCCCTCTTGCATGATGCATGTGACTGCCTCTGGCTTGTGTAATGCAGCCAGCCATTTAGGACCATTTCTTCCCCCCAATTGGTCACTTCTTTGAAGTTTCCAGCTGGATGCCAAAACTGTGGTACATGCTTTCCCCCTAGAGATGATCCAATTTGGTAATAACAGTCAACTCACTGAGCTATTTGTTAAAAGGGTAGGAGGGAAGCTGATGGTCTACCACAACCTGAAACAGAACAATTTTATCAGCAGTCTGCCATCCCATTGGCTTTGCAAGGTGAAATCAAGAAAATCACTGAGTTCTAAGGGGTTCTCTGAAGATTAGTGTTTGGCTTCATTTTACACGTGAGATCACTGGAGAAGTAGTGTACTGATGAGGCAGATTTACAGATCTACCAATAGATCTTATGGGGGGGCACAGAACAAAGGGGGTCATCAAATGTCCTACCCTCTGGTTGTGTCCACTGGGGGAAAACAAGCTGGCTGAACCCCATGAGGGTCTTCCCCCCGCCCAGTAGTTGGGTGTTTGTAGGTTGGCATTTTTTGGGGGGTCTACAGGAGACTTGCTTCTATTTTCAACCATAGATTTTATCGTATTTTATCTTTAACAGATTTCTTGGAACAATAAACTTAAGATATAGTGGTGCCTCGCACAGCGAGGTTAATAAGTTCCGGATTAACCCTCGCTGTGTGAAAACATCACTGTACGGGAAGGAAAAAGCCATTGGAATGCATTAAACTTAGTTTAATGTGTTCCAATAGCAGCTTTACTCACCATACAGCGATGCTTTCTCAATGGCCGGCAGCCATTTTCGCGCCCTCCCCTCACTTAACGAGGGCACGAAAATGCTGCGCGTGGCCATTTTGGGCCTTCCGGCGGCCATTTTTGGGGCTTCCGGTGGCCATTTTGGACCCGCCGAACAGCTGATCGGCGGGTCGCAAAGCAAAGGTCGGTAAGCCAACCGCTTACTGACCTTCACTCTGCGATTTTCGCCCTATTGAGGCATCGGTGTGCGATCGCATTTGCGATCGCAAAAACGGCCTCGTAGAGCGAATTCATCGCTCTACGGTGCACTCGTTGTGCAAGGCACCACTGTACCCCTTTATGTTACCATTGACTTCTTTTTTTTAACATACGAATTTATAATTCAATTTTTTAAAATTTCCAAAACAAATACAAGAATACAAAATACTTATTAATACAGTGCACCCCCATACCCACGTTAGCATAAAAATATTTAAACTTATTTCCCCTCTTTTCATCTTAAGTTTAGTAGTCAATTTATCATTTAACGCAATGCCCCATACTTCATTATACTAATTTTCTAATTTAATATCATTTTTATCTTTCCAGAATCTAGCTATTATTATTCTTGCACTTGTCATAAAATTGGAAATCAATTCCTTTGAGCAATAATTTCTTCATCACATTTCAAACAGGCATTAGAATAGTCTGCATTTATTATGTTCAATTTCACCGGAGTCATGTACCACCTTAAACTAATTTTTTTTAAATTCCTTTATTCTTACCAACATTAATCTTCAAACTCTCATCTTCCAAATTTTTGTCCAATCCTCTATTTTAATTTATTTCTCTGTCTCTCATTGCATATGTTTGTGGCTGTCTCTTGGCTATTTGGGACCATTTCTTCCCCCTAATTGGTCACTGAGTTGGAGTTTCCAGCTGGATGCCAAAACTGTGGGACTTGCTTTCCCCTTAGAAATGATTGGATCTGGTAATAACAGTCAACTCAGTGAGCTATTCGTTAAAAGGGTAGGAGGGAAGCTCATGGTCTACTGCAACCTGAAACAGAATATCTAGCACTAATTATGTCAGCAGTCTGCCATCCCATTGGCTTTGTAAGGTGAAATCACCCCAAATCGCTGAGTTGTAAGTGGTTCCCAGAAGATTAGTATTTGGCTTCGTTTTACACGGGAGATCACTGGAGAATTAGTGTAGTGATGAGGCAGATTTACAGATCTACCAGTAGATCCTATGGGAGGCACAGAACAAAGGGGGTCATCAAACGTCCTAGCCTCTAGTTGGGTCCGCTGGGGGAAAACAAGGTGGCTGGACCCCATGAGGTTCTTTTTTCTCCCCTAGTAGTTGGGTGTCTGTGGGTTGGCACTTTGGGGAGGGGGCATCTACAGGAGACTTGCTTCTATTCTCAACCCTAGGTTTTAGCGTATTTTATCTTGAACAGATTTCTTGGAACAATAAAATTAAGATACCCCTTTATGTTACCATTGATGTCTTAAGAAATTACTCCTAGTCAAAATTATAAGGTTACCTTAGTACCATACAAATAACCAGTGCAGTATAGTGGGTGGCGTGTCAAAGGAGGGCTGAGGAGACCAGGGTTCAAATTCCCACTTGGCCACTGGAACTCACTGGGAAATGGCATGGGGAAAACCTTTTCCTCTTGCACCTTGGAAACCCTATTAAGAGTTGCCATAAGTCGGATGCAACATGACACACAGCTATAACGTAACACTAGCTTACTGCTCTCCCTTATCACCATCAGCATAAACTGTAAATTTCTATTTACAAGGCACCCCCTTTGAGAAGCCATCAACTAGCCAACCTCCACAACCATTGTATCCTCTTCCGAAATCAGGATCCAGCGTTGCTTTTAAAGAAGAGTCATCATTATACTATATCTGAGTCTTTGCCGCTCTTTCTGTCCCCAGAACCTCTACCTGCAAAATGCAAACTCCCCAAACAAACTGGGCGGTGCAAAGCACGTTTTGTAAAATATTACTACAATGTCAAGAGCGAGAAGTGTGAAGAGTTCATTTATGGTGGCTGTCGTGGTAACAGAAATAGATTTGACACTAAAGTGAAGTGCATACAGGAATGTGCCAGGAATACCAGAAAACGTACAGGTCTTTTCCGGGCAATCCAATTGGTTGATTCTTTTCCCTCACTGATTATTTCAGCCCACGAATGCAATAGGAGGGTTCAGTTTGCCTGTACAGTGGGAGGAAGGTATGGCGATGCAGGAAGCCTCCTTAGATCAGTGGATCCCAGAAGCCCAGTCCATTGGACGTGCTGGCTTGCACTTCTAGAAGCTCCAGTCCAAGAAAACCTGGGCCCACAAATACTTTGCGCTGAGTGAAAAGTGCAGAAAACAGAAGTTGACGACTTTTGCCACCCTATGTAAGCTGGTTTAGCCATGGGGCTTCAGAACCAAGCGCCGTTGATTTCAACAGGACTAACGTCATCATTCAGTCTAGGCTTGAAGCTTAGGTGGTAGATCAGAATGTCTCGCCTGCACCAATGCTAGCAAATCCTCAGACCTCCCACCCCATTTGCAGGCAGTTAGTGCCTTTTCTTACCTCCCTGCTCTGCATGTTGTGGGAAAAAAGGGCCAAAGAACTTTCCAGCCCAATGGAAGCTCTTAGACTTGGGCCCTGATTCATTCTGCACCAATGGTAAAGGATGATGGTGATAGTAGTTCCATGAAATCAGGAGGGACACAATCCCCCATTATTGTCCTGAAATGCTCCATGTTTTAAAGTCATTATTTGATTGAGGGGAAATCTCTACTTCTAAGTAGGGCTTCTTATAATCCATACGTAGAACTGAAAGTACTATGAATGCTTTTATCTCCATATGATGGACTTTCTCTCTTCTTTCTAGGTAATTGACCGAATCCGTGACATTTTCAGACGTATCAAAATGTAACCTTGTTCTGTGGAACCGTGAGGTCTTCCGCCATCTTGTACCAAATCGGGTGCACACTTCTTGTATGCTCTCTAGGAGATGTCCCTGCTATTCTTTGATGCTTAATTTAAATAATTATTGGAAGACAATGCAATTACATATATATTTGCTTGCATAGTCAATAAAAGACAGAAAAAATTATTCTCCTGGACATTGCTTTTTTGGGGCAAAATCCTGAAGGCTATTCAGAAGAGAGAGTTATTTGCTCAGAACAACCATCTGGTATCACTCTTGAAATAATGCCTGAATCGGGAATGTCAGCTATGATGGAAAAAAGCAGAACACCAAGTGTTATAAAGATAGAGATATAGTGCTGTAAGGACTTAATTGAAGCATCAGATTTCTTAGTATGACACTTGGCAAGCTGGGAGCTAAACCTAGAATTTTCTAATGCATGTGACTTCTATTTTATGGTGGTTTTTATTTGTTTATTTATCCTGATTACACCTATTTTCTAATGAATGTGTTTACCCTTGTTTTACTGTAGGCTGGGACACCCCTTAGACATTTTTCTGCCTGAAGCAAAGGACAAAATAGTTCACACCTCCATTTCATGTACCTAGATTGACCGGATTGACTGTGGCATGTTATCTGCATGCTGGGTATCTAACGGGAGAGAAAGAGAGCCCTGAATAACTTCTTCCTGAGCCAAGGAATGTCCTTTCTGGGAATACCTTTAGCTGCTCACCTGTGGCTTTTGCTGCTTCTTAGGCCCCAGTGGACAGTAGACCTCTGAGAGGCGCCTAGTTGCAAGAGTGAAACCCCGTCTCTGTGAGTCACTGTGTGGCAGGTCCCGGTCTCTTTCTCCCCAGCCCTGACGTATGACATTTGACTAAGGCGGAAGGTGTGTAAAACCTTCTGTCACTACTGGATGCACTACCCAAGGGGTGGTTTGCTACGGGGAAGACAAGGGCTAACGATTGGGCTAAGAAAAAAACAGTTTCGTCATGGCCTATCTTATTATTTATTTTCCAATCTGGTTTGTTGATTCCCTGTTGGATACACTGGAGGTCATTTTCTCCTGGGAAGGGAGTACTTTTCGAAGAGAGAAGGGGTGGGGGGGCGCAGACAAGGACCACCCATCAGAACTATGGAGGGTCAGGTGAAATACAGTAGAGGGAATAAAAATGGTCATCTGGGGAGGGGAGGTATTCCCAGATTTTATCTTTTTTAAAGTCCTCCCAGGTTCAAAATTCTGCTGCGATATGCCAGGTTAGTGAAAGGAAAAACACCAGGTGTCCGGGACTTGATTCTAGATGACCTTACTGACCTGGCTTCCATTAATGGAGACCTGGTTGGAGGAGATTGGTGGCATCAATCTTGGCCAGCAGCATCCAGTGGGTTTTCAATGGAACAGTAGACTTGACAAACGAGAGCAGTGAAGTTGTAGTGATCTATCATGACACTGTCCTCCTCAATGGGTAACGCATTCCGCAGCTTTCTAGGTTTGAATGTGTTTGCCTGAAAGTGGGTGCCCAGAATAGAATAGGGATTCTGGGCTTGTTCCTACTGCCAGAATAAACCAGCAGAGGAATTCGTGTTTTTTTTTAAAATTCAGGCTAAATTTGCTGGGTGGGCGAAGGGGCGACTCTGTGAGTGAAGGAGCGAGCAAGGGAGGGGGTCAACTGGGTGATAGAAGGGACAATAAGGTGGGTATGGGTGAGCAAGGAGTTGAGTGGGCAAAAAGAATCCTACTATCTAATATAGTGGTGCCTCGCTTAACGAGCGCACCGTACAACGACGAAATCACATAGCGATCCCTTTTTTGGGATCGCTAATGCGATCGCTCAACGAGCTTTAGATAGGGAGAAATTCGCTTTGCGAAGATTGGTAAGCGTTTCGCTTACCAATCTTCGCAAAACGAATCTCCGACGATCAGCTGTTTGGCAGACAAAATGGCCGCCGGAAGCCCCAAAATGGCCGCGCGCAGCGTTTTCGCGCCCTCCCCTCGCTTAACGAGGGCGCGAAAATGGCTGCCGGCCATAGCAAACTTCGCTGAACGGTGAGTAAAGGAGCCTTTTGGAACGCATTAAACGATGTTTAATGCGTTCCAATGGCTTTCCCTGTCCCGTTCAGCGATGTTTCGCTATAGCGAAGGTTAATCCGGAACGGATTAACCTCGCTATGCGAGGCAGCACTGTGCTGTACTGTATCAGAAAGCAGGATTTTTTTTAGAAAAACTGATGGCATGTCAACATATGTGGAATCAATTCCAATGAATCGATCCCATATCTACCTCAAAATAAATGGACTTCTGTAAATATTTGATATAGTGCTGTATCAGAAAGCAGGATTTTTTTTAGAAAAACTGATGGCATGTCAACATATGTGGAATCAATTCCAATGAATCGATCCCATATCTACCTCAAAATAAATGGACTTCTGCAATGTAAATATTTGTAAAAATACTTAACAAAACTAAAGCTTGTCCAAAATAAACAGAATGGTACATTGTTGTTTTCGGCTATCAAGTGGCTTCTGACTAGACATGGGGATAAATATAGAAACAAATCAGGATATTCTTGATTTGTCAGATATTTGTTGCTTTGTATTCTTGGGGTCCAGAGAATCCGACAAATACAAAGCAATGAATATAATCCTTTTATATTTGTCCCTTCATTCATTCCCTATCTGCTTATGCCCCCGCGGATCAGCTGTTCCTCGGGGGGGCATAAGACGAGAACGGTTTTCCCTTCCGGTGGCTTGCTAAAGTCTGCCCGAAGGGAATTCCAGCCCTGGGGCTGGAGGATGGCTTGGTGGGGGGGGGGGGATAAGACGAGAATGGTTTTCCCCTTCCGGTGGCTTGCTAAAGGGATCAAAGAGGGATTGGCTTGGTTCTCCTTTCCTCCTCTTCCTAAGCCTGTGCGGCATCAGAAGAAGAGGGAAGGGATCAAAGAGGGATTGAAGGTTAAGAGGGGACATGATAGCCATGTTTAAATATCTGAAGGGATGTCATGTCAAGGAAGGGACCCATTTGTTTCCCATGGCTCCAGACACTAGGACGAGGAGCAACGGTTTCAAACTACACAAAAAGAGATTCCACCTGAATCTCAGGAAGACGTTCCTGACAGTCAGAGCTGGTTGGCAGTGGAATAGGCTGCCTCGGAGTGTGGTGGAGTCTCCTTCTTTGGAGATTTTTAAGCAGAGGCTGGATCACCATCTGTCGGGAGTGCTTTGACGGAGTTCCTGCATGGCAGGGGGTTGGACTCCATGGCCCCTGTGGTCTCTTCCAACTCTGTGATTCTAAGATTTTATGACTGATCTTCTTCTGAAACTATCTGATGCTCTCCGTTAGCCAGCAGTTTTTTTGCAATGTGATCTTGAATGCCTCTTTCGTTTTAAAATCCAGCCTGGTCATCAGGCATTTCTCTCTCCATATAAGGTAAAAGCCTTTGTTGCAACACCTTTGGCATCACTTTGCTTGTATGAGAAATTAAAGCAATGTTCCTATAATTATAACACTCCTTGGCTTCTTCTTTCTTAGGGACTGGAGAATACACTGAGCATTTACAGTATGTAAATTATTGCTCCATATTTGTTGGCATATTCTTTTTAGGATTTTGACAGATTCATTATCTGTGGGTCAAAACAGATCCATCTACCCCTAGTGATTTATTACTACCTAATGCTCTCAGAGCAGCTTTCACTTCACTTTCATTTTGGTTCCAATTTATGGCAACCTGCTGCAGGATTTTCTAGATACAGAGTGCTCAGAAATAGCTTCTGTCTCTACATCTAAGGGGACTCTGGGACTGTGCAGGTTTTTCCAGCATCAATTGGCTGACTTTTCTCCCTGGAGGCACAGAGGGAATTCAAACTTTTGAATGCTGCAGTTAATCTTAAATGATGGATTAAGTAGGAAAATAATTGGGGTTGAAGTGTGTAGCTTTATCAACTTTGCTTGAAAGAAATTTATCTCAGCAATGCCTAGATGACAGGGAATATTCTGATGTACAATAATCTGAATTACAAAATATTGACAACACCTATCAAAACATAAACGGCTAATATTCTTACGGCAACAACCAGCAGTGGGAAATTTATTGGGATTAGAGCAGGGGTCTCAAACTCAATTTACCTGGGGGCTGCTGGAGGCAGAGTCTGGGTGAGGCTGGGCTGCACCAGATTTATCCGCCAAACGGAGCAAGAGGCGAGGAAGCTGCCCAGGAGTTTCCTTAGCCCAGCTGGGGCTCCGAGGGGGAGGAGAAGGGGTGTGCGAGCACTCATCGCTGGCCACGACCCCCTCCGGCTCCTTCTTCACTACTGTACTACCACCACCAGCACTAGGACAAAGAAGCAGAGAAGGGAGGGAGCGCCGGCGACCGCCTAGCCTGGGGGGGCCACGACATAAAATTTTTAAAAACCCACACAGAATCGCCTCGCCATAGGAGAAAAGCCGCCACCGGTACCCACAAAATTAAACAGAACGGGGTGGGGCCCCCACAGGTGCGCACACTGATGTGCATGCACACGCATGCACACACACACACAGAGGTCCGGCAACCTTCCTCTGAAGGCCCCCCCCCAAAAGGCAAACTCAGCAGCAGCAGCTACCTCCACCACAACAGAGGAGTAAACTTTGCGAGGCGAGCCCAGGCAGCCTCCAGAGCCGAGGTGGCTGAAGCAGGACGAAAAGGAGGAGGAGGAGGAAACACTGCCGGGCGCTGAGGAGGCTGCTGGCTGGGCTGGTGCTGAGGGGGCTGAGAGAGAAAGAGAGCCAGAGAGCCACTTCCCTGGAAGAGGTGGCGGCGGCAGCAGCTGCTGTTGGCAGCGCTGTTGGAGGCACTTTTCTAGGACGGGTTGGGAGCGAGCTCCGCTCTCAGGCATCGCTCGGCGGCCGCTCGGGGAAAAGGGCCGGCAGTGTGCCTTGCTCGCCAGCGCTCCCCCAAGACAGTGCCTCTTGCACCCTCCATCCAGAACTGCAGCCTGCCAGCCGGAGGGTGCAAGAGGTGCTGTCTTGGGAGAGAGCCAGCGAGCAAGGCAAGGGTTTTTTTTTAAAGACAGCAGAGGATTTGTGGGTGCTTTGGGGAGGCAGGAAAGGCGGGGGCCACAAACTATTGTCCGGTGGGCTGCAAATGGCCCCCGGGCCGCATGTTTGAGACCCCTGGATTAGAGGCAAGGCTAGTTTGTCAAAA